ATAATAATAACGAAATATAATAACATATAAATATATTATTAATAAAAATGAAGTAGTAATTCAAGTTACTAATTTTAAGTTCTTTAAAGCCAGCTGAAGAGTATGTTAGGCCATAATGAACAACGTATTGTTATGTTAATCACAAATTTTCAACTTTTCTCATTTGTCCCGAAGGGAAATTATTTTTACTTCATAATTAGTTTCCTTATAAAGCTTCCTGTATGAAAAGTACAAATAATATTTCACAATTAAAGTTGCAAGTGAATATACGACTGTCAAAAATGAGAAGACTGAGAAATGAGCCTTTTTGTGTTTTCTTTTTTCTACCAAGATTATACACTTTTCTTCTGATCATTAATCTTTTAAATATAAGGTTTTTATATACTTCTGTCAAGACTTCTCGAGCTTACGTGTTTTTTAACATCATGAATCTGTCAAATCATCTACATTCCTATGTAGTTCATGTGGAAACATTGATTCAAGCTTATGAAATCAGATATGCCCTCGTTTATATATAGAGAATTACATATTCGTGGATTGTTTTTTATCACTGTATCGCTGAAGTCTACTCTAATATCCAGTAAGAATGGTAAGGACTTCTGCACAAATAACTTCCACAAGTTGTTTTAATTTTTACGTTATGAATATCTGTCTTTTTTTCTGCTTGAAGCAGCTATGAACTGCTTGATGCTAACAAATCCACTGACTTTCCTTGTTTTATATTATTCATGTCAGTTCTTCCCATACATTTCGCTTTGTCTCGGTAACCCACCAGAACATGAAGATGGTCGTAAGTATAAGATAATGCAGATCGACATAGACATGTACATCGTAATAGTAGTTTCGTATGGTGAGTATCCGGGAGTAGAACTGGCGTCCTAGTCCGGACACCGGGTGAGCATGTTTTGGTGTGAAGGGGATTCGAACCCGAGTCGAGTGCCCTAACCACCTGGCCATACATCCTAGTGACTCCTCTAAAGGAACAAACTCTGAAAGATTTAATCTCACCCTTGATCAGCTGGTTGTATTTTAGAGATTGTCCGTGCTTTTTTGTCCTGAACTTTCTTCATTTTCTAGAGCTCTAAATTAATAAAAATCAATAAATATTATTCTTTTTGTTACCTCTCGGCAAGAGTTACTTGTAGCATCAGTCAGTTCAAAATAATAGTTTTTTGTACAACATTCACAGTAGAGGTCTGAAACTCACTGTAATTGTAACCGAATGCAACCTTTTATAACTTTAAAATATGATAATATTATTCTTTTTGTTACCTCTCGGCAAGAGTTACTTGTAGCATCAGTCAGTTCAAAATAATAGTTTTTTGTACAACATTCACAGTAGAGGTCTGAAACTCACTGTAATTGTAACCGAATGCAACCTTTTATAACTTTAAAATATGATAATATTATTCGGCTACATCAATGATATCTGTGTTTTCATAATCAACACGACATTTAAAAATACAAGTCATAACAACAACTTTAAGAACCAAATTTGAAAGCTACAAGCTCGAATGAACAATTTTAGTCTTTTCTCTGTAATTGTCAAAATATGCGAGTTTTGATAAAAGTAAATCAGTTGCATTAAAATATTCGCTGTTGTGTTTTAGTAAAGATAAGAAAAGGATTTATGTAACAAATCTTAGAGTACCTATAAAACCTGAAATATTATTTTTTTACAGAAATTGTTATTGTTCTATACCAGATGATTAAACATTGTTAATTTAAAAATAGGGAATAGGGATTATCAAAAAAGAACAGAAAGAAGTTGTATCAAAATGCAAAGATTATGTTTTTAAGCCTTCAATTAGGGACTCTAAAAAAAAGAAGAAGAAGAAAATCAAATAGGCTTGAAATAGTGTCTACATTATTTTCTCAAGTTAAAAATCCCTATTTTGGCTCCATGTCTATAGTACTTATCAATTTTAGTGAAGTAAATATAGTTATTTGTAGCTTGAGAAAATAATGTAGACACTATTTCCAGCTTAGTTGTTTACTTTCTTTTTAGAGCCCCTAGTTGTTAGCTCGAAAATATAATCTTTGCATTTTGATTCAACTAATTTCTGTAATTTTTGGACGATCCCTATTACCCTTTTTTAAATCAAACATTTTTTAATATCTTGTTTCTTAAGTTTTTTATGTCCATTTATGGAGATTAAACTTTAAGCTACATAGGTGCATATGCATTCAGTTGAATGTTACATGTTTTCAACAATTTACTGCTGCATTGGCGTTTTTTCAACCCAACTGTTATATACTAAGCCAGGTTGAGGTTTCGTGTAAACACGCGTACAACAAGCAAAATACGTAAATTAGTAGAATAAATCACCACTCATAAGAGTAGAAAAATCTAATACTATAATCGTTCTCTGTTAGAAAACTTACTGAAATAGTCGCAGAAATTCACGAAGAGACAAAGTACAACATCGAACTCGAGAAATGATAAATCCTCAACTCGGTAATTTCCAAATAATGCGACATAAGTTGCACAGATCATTTTCCTATTAATGCGCATTGGGAAAACACAGGATTTTTTCAATTGCGGAAAGTGAAGGATTTAGAGAAATTCTTCAGGGCGAAAGAATGAAGGCGCGTGAAAAAAATTTAAAACTACCCTATGACATACTAATTAGTGCGTTACTATTGTCCAGGTTTCAGTAAAATATTCCTAGCCGTTTTTTCTGTAATCAATAATAATAAGGCTGGAAACACTGTCATAAATATACATATTATTTACTCTAATAAAACGAAACGTTTCTGACTAGTATAAAACGTAACATTTCTGACTATTATAACGGCACTTAATGGCTTCTACATTTCTGTGATGATTGAATGATCTAGAAGAGATTATGTTGATAGCGAAGAAGAACTTAGAGAATTTTAGAGGGTGAAAATCTTGACTTTCAAAAATCAACTTAAAAAACATACAGCCTTCGCAGAAGTTTGTTTGGTAGCTATGCATAGATTTTGGTGCAGTATTCCAAGCTTTGCTGTAGGCTTCGGTGCTTGAATAGCTTCGAAGAGAAACTTGACCAGTAGTAATGAAAAAACTGATAAAATCTTTCCTTCTCTTTCAAGAATCAACATAAAAATAGTCTTATGACCTGTGCATCAGTTTCTTAGTAGGTTTGTCCAGGTTTGAATAAAATATCCATATCAGTTTTTTTTCTGTAGGGTTGTGAAACAACAATAATAATAATAATAATATGAAAAACAAATGGATTAATTTTGAATTTTGTCTAACAATCGGAAAATCAACTTTTTTTCCTATTATCAATAGTTTAGCATCCTTAGCCATTGAGATAGAAAGTCTTGAGGCTTTTTTCAAGGACAAGTCTGCTTATTAAGATGGTTTTTGCCCGTATGTTCTTTCATAGTTTTGTGAAATTCCTGGGCGAACCCTATTATGAACCACTATCGTGGTTCATGATAATTACTCCTAACATATTCAGTAAGAAAACAATAGAAACATTATTTTAATTTGTACATTTGTATGAAATATCAGATTGTGTTTTCATTGGGCTTAAGTTTCCACAGAGTAAGATATCCTTAGAATGATCTTACTGGATAAATTACTTCTTTTGGAAGTGAAGGTGATGCAAGTAACACAAATACACTAGATACAGCAAAAACAGAAAATAAAATATTTGGTTTGATGATAAATGCATAACGTTTGTTATGAAGATCATTACAGCAGAAGATAAATTTCAAAGTTCAACTCACGATCATCTATAGTTCTAGCAAAAAAGGAAGCTTTTTCCCGAGTCTTGATCTCTGATTTTCTTAGTTTTATCGTGGTTGTTTCAAAAGTATGTAAATCTCTTTCATTCTATGCTCAGATAATGATTTTGGACTGTCTGTTTTGATACTTGTATAGGGTTTACACTTCTGAAGTGTTCATTGATTCGTTCTTCTAGTCTGTCGATCCTGTATACTCTTGTTCGTAACTCGCAGATTCGTACTTATACCCGTTCACTGAGTTACGTACGTATTTGATTTTATTTGGTGCTTGAAATAAAAAATGTTTTCAGAAAAAGAGTTTTCTTTTTATTATGTCTGAATAAAACACAGCCAGAATATAATAAAGAGACCAGCCATATAAAGCCGAGGTATCTACAAAATAAAAAGAACCAAGTTACATAAAATTTCAACCTCTGTAACCATGTAATCTACAATAAGAGCAGTGTTGAACCCGAGATCTTTCGCGTGCCAGAACATGTTCTACCACTGAGCTAAATGATTAGCCTATCAAATATTGTTAGTAAAGCTCTAAAAGTAGCTGAAATAATCAGATTTTTCGTCTCTCACAAATAAAGGCTATTTTCAGGATGGCCCCTCGTTGGGCACCAGTTTTTCTGTGGTAATTGAGCTAAAGGGTTAACCTATTAACTGTCACTAGCAAGGCACGTTTTAAACCATTCAAACTATCGCACTGATTTTTAAAATAGGATTTTACGTAATCTGTTGGTTGGTGTATGTCTAGTCTAGCTGACAAGTTCTAGTATTAAATGAATAGCCTTCTGGTTAATCACTTGTAGCAGACAAAACTAAAATATCCAATGGTCCAATTATAGCTAAGTGTAACGTTTCTTAAATATTAAGCCAAATAGTTTCCATTGCTTCGAGTTTAACATGGAAACAAAGAGTTGTTATATGTTATGTTAACAAATCATATCTGAAACACGTATGTACGTTATCACAACATCGTTTTATGTTGAAAATACAACAAAGACAATAATCAAGTCACAACCAAATTGTGTTACATCATATTCTTATTTTATTACTATAAATTCTTGAATAGGGCAGTTTTCGGTTTGTAGTATTAGAAAAAAAGTGCTACATTTAAATAAATATTTAAAGATATCGTTAATTCTAATATTGTTTCATCAAACTGTGTGTGCAAAAGAAATATATATATATATATATCAATGCTAGTTTACATGTATTTATTTAGCAGTGGATAAATATGTATATATGGACCATAACAAACGTCAGTAATTTTGATATCGAAGACATAGAGAATAGTCTATTTTTGATAACAAAAATAAACAATGACTTTTCTGAGTTTCTTAGTGGATATCAGTTACATATTAAAAGGTTCAAAGTCTACGTTGTTAACTTCAAATTCAGTTTTATTTGTGTCAGTACATTAGATGTAGGTGCAGTTTTCGAGCGTAACTCTTGTTCCAAGGATCTCAGAAAAGCTACTCACGACTTTGCCATTTATTATAATCTAATCTGTTTTTATATTCGAATTAAAAGGTAAGTTATATTCTTGATCTTTCGTAAGAGTATCTTACACGAACCAGATCACAATAATATATCCTTGCTATTTTATTTTCTCTCAAATAACAATTTTCATTACGTTATCTACCTACTTTTTGTTTTTGCATTTATATGAACTTCTCTCTCGGAATATATTGGACAAACATTCATATTAAAAACTTGCATTCTAGCGGAATTAATGGAATTACTGAATTTGATATTGCTATATCTTGTGCAGTTGACGTGTCGCTACAATTAATTTAATCAAATTTAGCAAGGCTTACGTGAATGACTACGATAGAAATAATTTAACTCATATACATAGATAGATAATTGGTTTTTCAACAAACATACAGAGATATGCCAAATATAGATCGATAAATAATTGGTCAACTCATATACATCAATAGATAATTGGTTTTTCAACAAACACATCGATAGATAATTGGTTTTTCAACAAACATACAGAGATATGCCAAAATATACATCAATAGATAATTGGTCAACTCATATACATCAATAGATAATTGGTTTTTCAACAAACACATCGATAGATAATTGGTTTTTCAACAAATATACAGAGATATGCTAAATATACATCGATAGATAATTGGTTTTTCAACAAACATACAGAGATATGCCAAATATTACACAGACTCAAATCTGCATCTTACATGTATGTCTTCTGAGATAGCGTTATTGGTTGTCTTCAAGTTTTAAATATAACACTACGATGCTCTTTGTATTTCAGCATTACCACTAACGTGGTTATGTAAAAAAGACCCATTAGCCTAACAACATTTAACAAACAAATAGATTTCCATGTCTAACACAGACCCTTATTTTAGATTTTATGGTTTAAAGGTAATCAATACCACAACTCTATTTTTAGAGCATGATTTTAAGCCTTCTCCAATGGTTTATTTTAATTTTAGTTTTGTAAAACCCAATATTTCAAATATTAAAGAATGATACAAAATGTCTATCAAAGACTATATTGCATTTCTTTATATAGAAAAGAGTTATAGATCCGATAAATTTAGTTATACCTAAAAATGTTACGTTATAAATGTATATTATAATTTTAAGCTGCAAATTAGTAATTTTTATTTAACTTTAGGATATGCCGATTTTCGTTCCACGATGATTAATGCAGCACTGAGTAGTTCCGTCTTTAATAGTATTGGAAACAATATCAAGAAATACCAAGTGTCGTTTGTGAACGGAACAGTCGTAATGATAACAGTGGTGGGGGAAACCATCTTTAAATATGTGGCCTTCAAATGTCCCTGTAGTCAGCCAGATGCTTTTTTGTATGGCTCAAGCTTTATCTGTGGTCCTGCTGTGATTTTATTTATTATCGGTAAGTTTAATACTGGGAGCATTTTGGTTGTTTTCTCCAGTTTAATATATACGTAGAACGACGAACCTTGTAAGTGACCCGCTTATAGTAAACTTACTGGTCCGTTTTGATTGTGAATTTTGTTTAGAGAAATTCGAGCTATAGATCACATTTATTTCGCATTGACTTTAATGTTGTCAAAAAGGTTTCAGTGTGAAAGAATCTGATATTTGACTATTAAAGTTTATATAAGTATTGCATTTAAGGTTACATAAAAATAAGTTTTGATTGTAATTAATATGCCTAAAGTTAAAATATAAGAAATTTTCCCAAATTAATTCAGTCAATTAAGCCATCACTTTATTTCTTTTAAACTTAATTGACCGAATAGTTTCAATAATTTATTATTGCTTTATGACAAGTATTTATTAATAATCGGTTTATTTATGACAAGTATTCATTAATAATCGGTTTATTTTAGCATATTTTCGTACTTTTTCTGTTCCGTTTCTGAAAAAGTGAAAACAAATATAAATAGTATTACTTCTAAAACATATTGTACAGATTTACTTTTAATATGTAATGCAGAGTTCTGCTTGAATTTGGGTTGATCTTTGACAACCAAGTAATTAGCATGCTCGGAGTGTGAATTTGACGATTCACAGTTCACATTACGTTGTCGTAAAACACAGTTCACGCTTTGGGACCATGGGTGTATTTTTAAAAGTAACGACCAAGACCGTTCCTTCGGTCAGATAAGAGAAGATATTTAGGAGTAAAGAACTTTGATTTAGCTGTCTTCCCTGTAGTTTATCAGTTTTAAACTATGGAGTGTTAGAGCAGATAGCCCTTATGTACATAGCTTTGCTCGAGTTTTCGAAATCAACAATTAGACATTTGATATTTACCACGCGTACCCTAAAAATAAAGAAAATGAAAGCAACAATAAAAACTTTTCAGCAAGAAAGCTAGCAACAATTATTTGTTTGCACTTACCGAATATCAAAGGGTAATCGTTTATATACTTTGACATCTCGCAACAATGGACAAAATACTAATAGAAAAAGTAGATGATATTTTAGGTGACAACTTTGGGGTATAATATATAATATATCTTAACTATAGAAAACATAAAATTCCACAAGCTACAAATATACCATGCGGAATCATGGTATCAAATCTAAAAAAAACTATCATTTGGAAAAGTTTTCACAAGTTTGAAGCCCTTGAGCGTTTTACAAACTAAACTTGAGAAAATAAGATCAATAAATAAAACAAACATTAGCAAGTGCAAATTCAATTGAAAAATTAAAACTGGTTTCTTGTTCAGAACAATTGTGGTTCGAAGCCCAAATAAATATATATAGAATTCGTTACCCATTGGGTTTTGTTTGTCTGCTTGCTTCAGGTGTTCGTACAAAGCTATACGAGAGCTATTTGTACTGCCCGTCCTAATTTAGGAGTAATAGAATAGAGGTAAAGCCAACTAGTCAATATCACCCTTCGCCACTTTTGGGCTGCCTTAATCGGAAAATGGAATTTCACTGTCACTCCTGTAACGCACCCAAAGTGTGGAGTGCGATTTTACGACAACGGGACGCAAACCATGGATCCAGAAAACTCACAGTCTGACACACTAACCACTAGATCACGTTTAGCTTCAGGAATAGGAAAACAACTGAATTATGTAGGACACGTTATTAGAAAAGTTTAGATAGTAATCTGAAATCAAGTTCTCGAAACACATTTACCCGAAAATCATGTGAATAAGATTTTCGTAAAACGGGTATCAGGGAATGAAAATACCTTATAAATTTATGGGTTTTCAATGATGAGCGATATAGGCTTACGAAATTGTGAAGATAAGAAACGATAAATCTCATATAACATATCTTATCTTCTATGTACACTTATGACTACAAATAACGAAACAACAACTTATTTTTATTTACTCAACCAATACTTGCTAAATAGTTCATGAACAATTTTGACTGATAACAAGATAAAAAATATGTGATGTATCTGAAAAGGAGATAATTTTGGTGAACAAAATTAGTTTATTTATTATAAGACATAGGTAATTACACATTTTAGAAAAGGTTTTAGTTCGAAAGGTTCAAATTTTTACCATATTTAGAATGATCTAAAAATATTAATCAGTATAATATACAAATAAATTGCTCAAGTTTCGGAAATGTTGAATCATGTATTCTCTAAACAAGTTAATAGAATACGTGGTTCAACATTTCCAAAACTTGAGGTTCGTTAACGTTCTGTACGTTTTATAAAATTAAAGTAAGCCATTATTAGGTAACTATACTAAAGGAAAGTAAAGTTAGTTAAAAAGGATTTCATATACAGTGAATGTTTCCAATTATTGCCTATGCTGAAATCGGAAGGTAGCCCATGTGGATCTGTTAAAATTCATCATTATTAAACGACTTTATGTGAAGATAGTGATTTTATATAATAAAGTTGTAAATGTATGGTTTCGGACCTGTGAGCAGTAATGAATTATATGAGGTTTGCCTAACTTTTTATGTTGTTCAAATGAATGAGATGAAAAATAAAACAAAACAGATCCCAATGTTTCCAAATCGTATATATATTTATGACAGCAAGACACAACTTATGCCACTTACTGACATGAACATTATGTGTTTGTTGCTTTAAATAAGCTATTGATAAATGCAACACCAAATAATGAATGAGAAACAGCTCGAGGGTCAAGATTGAGTGAGATATGAGTAAATCAAAGAAATATAGGAAAGAAGCATAGCAATGGACATTTTTATCAAAACCTTTATGATAAGATGATTAGCACATTTGTTTAGGATTCCAAAGAACCCTGATGCTGCATTAGTGTACACTCAGTTGAAGGGAAAATAACTGAGATAATTGTAATAAAGAACAAAAGCAAATCAATCCTGACACGATCTTAAGGTGTGGAGTCCATTAAAAGAGTTTATTCAATGAAAAATCGACAGATATATTAAAGAACAACTAGGGAGGGAGTTTAAGCAGTTGAATTATATGCACGGGGTCTTCAAACAATTAAGTAAAATGCTATGCATATTAAGCAAACAGAGAGAGGACTCTGGCCCAAATTATAAATTCCAAGATGAGCCTTGGCCAGGAAAAAAAAAGAGAACGTGAGGTAGATGTCTAGTGCGTGAGAGACAAGACAAAATACCGAGGAAGATATTATGATGAAGGTAGAGAGGGGCTGAAAAAGTAAAATATCAAGATAGTAGTTCTTTATAGTGCCCAGACAGATATGTTGAGTAGCAGTTTGGATATAGTTAAATTGATGTAAGAGAGAACTGGTAGTGCTATAAGAAAATGCAGCAATAACTTAACTTTGATTGGATAAAAGTGGTAAAAGGATAGCATCATAGAAAAAAAAAACAAAAAAACAGCACCCCCAATAAGCTCCAGGATAACAAAGAGATTATAGGACGAGATGTAGGAAGGTAATAAGACTTTGGAATAGAAATGATATTAACATGTTTCAAAAAAGATGGACAGTAGTCAGAAATCTAACTGCCCTTGAACATGCTCAAGAGGAAAGCATTAGGGAAAGTTTGTTATAATTTTGTTTGGAATTTCGCGCAAAGCTAAACGAGGGCTATCTGGACTAGCCATCCCAACTTTATTAGTGATGGAAGGCAGTTAGTCAACACCGTCCAACGCCAACTCTTGGGCTACTCTTTTTCCAACAAAAAGTGGGATTGATCATTAGTTTATAACGCCTACAAGGACGACCATGCTCAATGATGTGAATTGGAACCTGCTACCCACATATTGAACGTCCTAACAACCAAGCCATCTAAGGCCCAGTTAAGGAGAGATTGTTTGGGTAGAATAAAATAACATAAGTGATAGAAGCCCCACTTTAAGGAAGAGCAATGTCATGTTTAGCCACGCTAAAAAGGGTACTGATCAAGTATAAAGGATCCTCACACAGTTTCTCAGGAGACGGTAGAGTAGAAGAAGAATTTGAATAGGTACCAACCCTCTTGGCTAAAACGCTTCACATTTCTTTTTAGTAGTGAAACCATCTTTATGAGGCCAAGCTATGTTTTTAGGTCCCAAGCAAGTATGGTGATTGTGTGGAAATGTAACTGTTTTTGGTAAGGGTAGAACACAAATACATCAAACTTTCCTATTCTTGAGTTTAAATGTAACACTTGACTATAACATAAGAAAGCTAGTAGTTTTCTAGTTAAACAACTGCAGGGAAAGGAATAGAAAGCAATCAGCCTATTGCAGTCAGGATTCAATGAGAAGACTTCTTAGTAAAGCTACTAGGGAAATTAAAGAGGATGTGAGTAGTTTGAACTAAATTCCAACTAAAAGTATCAGCAAAGACAGTCTTGAAAAGCAAGGGACGAAGCAAGATCCAACACACACTAATATTTTACCCAGTTGATTTTAGAAAACCTGCTGGTGTATGTTATTATAGATTGAAAGACTAGCTCTGTTTACAGCATTCTTTAATTCTGGGTCGTGATCTTTGAAACTCTGAACAATTTTATGTAATTTGTTCGGTAACATTGTTATCACAAGTAACAGAGAGCAGACATCTTTAGGAGCAAACGCACATAATGAATGAGTTTAAGAGAAATTATTTTAATACACTCAGAGTATTTATAGGCTTGAATACAGGCACTGACCACTTCTGAAATGAAGTCACAAAATCTAAACTAAAGCTGTGTCATTAGTCTTAGAATGTAACAAAGGGTTGGTGTGAGTACCTTCATCTACCAATTCTCATCTAACAATGATTGTTTTGATGACTAGATTAAATTATCAGGGGAGGATGGTGATGACCTGAAATAATACTGACTAGCAAGTTTTGAGAAAGTACAAGGGCAGAAGAAATCCCACTACTTAAGGATGAAAGGACAGTGAGAGTCCTCGTTTCAGTTCTGTAAGGTTATAAGTAGACTTCTTGCATTCTGTTTCTCTGGCGTCAAGACGATTAGGGCACTGCCCACAACTAGCTCAATGTGCTCACCACAATTAATACCAAACAGAAAAGTTGCACTAATGTTCACTAGAGAATGACATCTTCCATAAGTGTAGCACTTGATGTGACTCCGACACCGGTAAGCAATATGTCCAAATTATTGACATTTATATCACTGTGTGAAATTAGCTACATAGGAATTTTGCAAAGCCTATGATAGTTTTTCAATCTAAAGAATGTTTAACCCTGTTGGGAAAGCTCCTTACATCCTTGAAATCGTGTTTTAACTTAAAAGGAAGGCAAAGTGACAGTTGAAACGAATTATTTAAGCTAGATGAATTGAACTACAAAGAATTCTTAACTTCCATGTCTTTCACAAGCTTATTACATCTTTAATATCCATCCTGAAATATTAATTTGCAATAATACTTAAAACAAACTAGTATAAAAAATAAAATATCAACACGAGGGCTATTTAGAGCAAATTATGAAGCTTTTTAAAGTAACAAGCTACTCAATTAGTTTATTACAGTTAATAAAATTTAATGAGATAAGAAGTTGAAATGTAAGGCCTAATGAGGAGAGTTTTACCTCAAACTGCTTAATTTTCCCACTATTCATGTTCTAATTTTATAGAGCAATTATTATATTTACAATGTCCTGGCGCAGCTGCTGACCTATATAAATTCCATGCAGTAGTGCACATGTCACTGACTTACAACTTTAAAGGGGACCATTCTTTTACTAGCTGAGTCATATTGTAAGTATTTTTTCTATTCTTCAGACATTCTATATTTTGAAAGTGTTTCTTCTTAGCCTAAATATAATCAGTATAACAAATAATTTCTTACCTTTAACTCTTTAACAACAGGAATGCTGATTAACAACACCACGTGGCGGCTACTTTACGGCTGTGCAAAGCGTTCCCACCACACAAATCATGGACCTAAACGCAGTGCTTACTACTGCACTGAAATTATTGTAAGATCTTTGGTTGCTCCGGGAACGTGGTTATTTGTGTCTTTCTTAGAAGGAAGGTAAGAAGGAAAAACTCAAAATAGACATTTTCAATACTCTATATATCGAGAAATAAACTCGCTTGTGAAAATTTCACCCTAAAACATCTAAAAGATTGTAGTATTTCATTAAATCATTAGAAGAAATAAATGAAACAGAGCTTTTTTTTATCTATTTGTTAATTTTTTTCCACTAGCGTTTCTCTAGTTCTATCTAAAAGTTAAGTATATTTTGCTTTCGTTATTGCATTTGTGCATTTTTGTAATTATATGACCTTTTCATTTCTTCCTTACGAATTGTTAAATTATTATTAATAATATTGAAAATATGCACTTGAAGTCGAAAATAATCTGTCTTTTTACAACAATGTAACAATATTATGTTATTATTGAAGTATTTTGTGCTTTTGTAAAATATTTTCGCGTACATTATAATTTTTGTTTTCAAATCTATCTAGTTTGTTGTTAATCACATAAAGGCTATCTTTGCTCTGCCCAACGCGGATATCATAACCCGGTTTTTAGCGTTATAAACCCTCAGATTTACCGCTATGTCACCTATTTGAAATTTCAACCAATGGATGAAATTATTTGTTTAAAGTTAAGCACAATACTACACAATGGGCTATCTGTGCTCTGACCACCACCAGTGTCTAGCGTTGTAAGTCTACAGACATACCGCTGTGCCACAGGTACAATTGAAAAGTATTAGTAGGAAAATAAGTTGTTTTTTTTTAGTACAGTCATGCTGATGTTAAATTATTGATTTTGCAAACTATGTCATTTGCAATATAGATGAGTTTATCGATTTCGATATTTTTTCATCGCTAGTATTTTTAACGGGTTGTTTTAATTCCAGCAGCTGTTGTATTGTGTATTTCTAATATATTGTTACATTTTAGCTATCGTACTGAAACTGTAATTTCTACATCAAACATACCCGTTTAAGAGCAAAAGGTATGATAAAACATCACATTATGGTTGAGAATAAATACAAACATCTAATTATAAATGGGTATATAATAGTCCTTGAAGGCATAAAATATCCATAATCTCAGATCGTAAGATGTGAGCGTCCAATGGGTCATTTTTGGTAAGCAGAACTGGCGCTGTGGGATGAACCAAAAACCGAGTTACGGTGAAGACTCCACAGCCAGCCACGAGAAACAGCTAACACCACTACCAAGTTTACTCAGACTTCTTCAACCAAGAAGCAGTCACCGTACACAAATTTTACTCAGACTTCATCAACCAAGAATCAATCACCGTACACAAATACAATTCAGACTCAAACCTCACGAATCGTCTTCAACGTCCACCGACAGCCTCATAACTTCCAGCTAGTAGACTCAAACCAAGAAAGAAAGAAAACTCCAAACTGATGAAGAACAAGGAAACTACTACTGGAGATTCCTGCATACAACCTCCAACCAGCAACAGTCACCCTTCATCAGCATGTTTTGTCAGTCTAGTCACATCCATAAACCATCCGACTCCGACGAAAGCCACGATGTATTTTTCTTAGCCTGGTAGAGACATTCCCGTTTTTTCTTTGTTCTAAAATTTGTATTAAAGTTTCCTCATGTTTTATGTAATCTTTGTTTTGATAACCTTTGTATTTCTTCCATTTCAGCTTCTTCCGAGCACGGTCAAGGTATTTTATTCGGCGCCCTGGCCGTGAAACTGGGTTTTCTAGGGGTTCTCCCGTTTCCACTCACAGCGAAGTTTCATTCTTGTTTTTTGGATCTTTTGATCCAAACCCTGAAAAGGTGTCGTTCCGCGTTAATCTTAATACCATGTCAGTTTAATCTTATTTTATTAGTATTTTGTAGTTAAACCTTAATTTCTGCAACCTTTCTGATTTAATCTTAACTGTTAGTTAAAACCATTAGTCATGCTAGTTTTTCAACCAAGAACTGGCTGCTTTTATCACAGCCTTGGTCAGCCAAGTCAATCTTTTTATTATATAACTGTCACACCTATCCTTACGCTTTTCTTGTCTTGAACTTCCTGCTTTTAGTATTCACAGCTTTTCCGGTCGTCATGAGGCTCTCAGTTAGTCATGCTTTGTACAAATCCGTGCGACACACGCTTATCAACATTCACACCGCATCGTTTAAACTCAACTTCGTCACTTAAAGTTTTATTCACTTTAGTTAATTTTCCAATTTCACCTTATAATAACTCATAATTCTGAGAGCGAGATTAAGAGAAACAAAAATTTCTGAACGCCCCCTGGTCGTCTAACAAGACATTTTAAAATCATAATACCTCTCAAGTGGATACATACATCATAAAAATGTTTTCAGATCGAGGATTTGAAATTTCCAAGGTGGGGATAATTCTTATACTTAATGCTATGGAAAAACAAAGAATTATGGAATAAATTGGGGCACAGGAACATCCAAACAGAGCCCTGCAAAAAGTTGTACTCCAACTGATAACAAAAGTGCGGCGTCCTGAAACAGGTGATGATATACAAGAACACAACGATCAGTGGCAAAAGTCACCCACATGTCCCAGGCAGAATCTATTTAAATATTATAGTACTGTCTGTTGTCTGTTGTATGTCCATGTAACTACTTCGTAAGGTGTGGCTGAATCTTCACCAAAACTGGTATGGAGGTTCATTAGGTTCAATTTTCAGTTCTGCATTTTATGTTTTGCGGTTTTTATTGGCGATTTTGTGTTTTATTGCCACTACTTCGCCCCTTCTTAATGGATCTTCACCAAATTTTGCGTGAAGGTCTGTTGGATCTATGTGGAGATACAAGAAAATTTGCGGTTTCACATTTTGGTTATTACAGTTTTTATGGGAGTTTTTTTACAATTACGTATAAGAGAAGCAACTTTTCATGTCCTAAGATGACCTTTAATTAATCATGAATTTACATAACTTCCGTCCAGGGGACGGGTACTCCAGATAGTATACAATATATGATAGAAAACAATTCATCTAGAAAAGGATAAAAATGACAATACATGGTCATATTCGAAAAGCATATGTGTATCTATGTATCAAATCTTATGCCATTTTACATTGCTTAACGTGCGAAAACGTTCCAATAGTTGTAGACAACATGTCGTGAAGTTTTTCGAAGGGATTCATGACTGTTACTGGAAATTCAACCAGGGTCAAGCTGGGAAATAGCAGAGTGGGTGTAAAGGTCAAGATGAATACTTCTTATTATCAGACCAACGTTCTGGATCTTTTTTTACTACAAATAATACCAATCGAGGCTAACAGGGTATGTGTTTACCAAGATATGTCTTCTAGTTATACCTCCCGTTCAACCATTGCATACTACAAGCAGCTGGAGAATCAAATGGGTATTCACGCTATTACAAACGATGACGTATTGTACCAGTCGCCGGACGCAGAACTTAAGGATTTCTGTGAAAATGGATGTTGGGAACCACCGTCTTCGTACACAAGATAGATTATGGAAACAATGCAGGGAGAGGTGGTGTGCTTTGGAGATGAAAGTCTTATGTTCGAGCCTTTTGCAATTTAAACTGTGCTATGAGACTATTTTTAAGATGCACGGTAATCAGATAGATTTGATATATAGTTATGGACTGTATCGATGTCTCTAGGCTCCAAAATTGTTCTAATATAACGTACTTAACCTTCTGTACTTTCTCAGTAGTGGAATATAACAAACGAAATATAGTTAAAATGTTACTATACACTATTCGTACCGGAAGCTCAAATTATATCACTTAAGAATGAGGTGTTAATAATTATAATCAGACTGATTGCGATATCTCATCATATATGTTTCCTAAGAGGAATAATTTTTGTTGATTTAAAAATTATAGCTCAGAACTGTTTTGTCCTTCTAGTTTATCCTAACACTGCCTTGTTTCAGATATTAATTTTGGCATAGCCATATCTTAGATACTGTACGTCGTTGTTTGTTTTAGCGCAAATAAAAATAATGTGCCTACCGCGTTTTTATCACCTCTGGGGTCGAATCTGGAATTTTAGTGTTTTCAGAAAAGTCGCTTGTTTGTGCTATATTGTTATGTGCCAATTAGTCTGCGACACTGTTATGTTAAAAATGTAATTAACTGCAGAATAAGTTTTATGAATATATTTTACTCGCATTAAAACTGAAGGCTTATGTTGAGTTTATTAACAATATCATTCTTTTTAATGGCTATGTTATGTTTGTGGTTACAAGCTAGTGGAAGATTTAGCACTGGCTAAAGCACAGGTTCTCTTTCATCCACCTATCGCAGCACATATGTCAATGCACAGTCCAGGTGTGACGCCTTCCCTAATTTGAACTACTGATCACAGGGAGGTTTGTTTGTTTGTTGTTAAGGGCAAAGCTACACAATGGGCTATTTGTGCTTTGCCCACCAAGAGTATAGAAACCTCATCTTTAGCGTCATAATCTTTCAGAGTTGAAACCCACGGAGACGACTGTTCGCCAGCATCCTACAGCTATTTTGGTATTATTTGTTAAGGAATTAATTTCTATTATATTTAATTACTAATTTTTACAAGGAAGAATAATACTTCTACCATAATAAAATATAAGATAATTCCTAGAACTAATTTTTCAATTCGTAATTTAGTGTCTTAACAATTACGAATAGGTATATTCATTTACTATCTAACACATGAACTCAACACTATAGCAATAGGGCAGGGCAAACTAGAAGGGCACTCGTTAGAGCAAAAATAGTGTGAAAAATCGGTCCCATGTTAACAGATAGGGATTTTTGGATTTTCGTAACTTTGAACTTTGACCTTGACCCTCCAAACACAGATAACTTCTAAGTTGGGTCATAGTTCAAATGTATATAAACTTTCGTCCAAATCCATTTAGCCATTTTCGAGAAATCTTGCTGACAAACACACACACACACACACACGGAGAAAGCATAACCTCCGTCTACCTTCGGTAGCGGAGGCAACAAACGTGAGCCTGGTTCCAATAGTTATTCAATATAAAATTGCATAATATAAAAAGTAAACTGGTTGTAGTTAAACAATGTATATCCAGAACAACTACAAACAAGACAAAATATCCACAAGAAATTAGAAAAAAAGACAACTGGGCCTTAATTGTGAAAGAAAATTCCGAGAACTTAGATTATATAATATAAACAGTATTAATTTTAAAAATACTCGTAATGTAAAACTAACTACTCAGAGATTAATACCTCCAAGTAAAGTGTTTAGTTATAATCTACGAGGCCTAACTTATCCCAGGGTTTCTCCAAAATGTGTATTCTGAATTATAATAATAAGTCTATGTTCACAAAGATTTAGTTAGAATGTGAAGACCACGGAATTTTGTTTTTTAATCAGGACCTAATTAATATTATTTCCACTCTCCCACACATATTCAAATTAACACACTGAGAAAACTGTTAACACTGATCAATCCACTCAGAGCTTTCAACCCTACACTAAATAAATATTAAGACTAATCTAGGCTTATGTTTGTTTGTTCTGCTGCTATTCAATCTTTATAAAATCGAATAAGCAAATATTCTTCTCAGGAAAGTTAACATTATTTTGTGAATAAAAAATAAACATGCAATTACTCTTCTATTATTTAAATTATTTTTATATCATTTCAGTTACAATAGTGTATTATTTCACTTCTTTCATTTAGTCTACTGAAGAAATCCAATGTGCAATATGTAAGTTATTATCAAAATGTGTTCTATTTCAGTTACTACACATGTTTAAAGTCACATTCCCCATGTTCTTCTGGAAGCGAAGATAATCTGTTGCTGCGCGCCCACTCCCAGGTTATAGCATGGATTTATTTAGCTACTGTGGTGACTTTCTCTTTTCTTGGTAAGTCAGACACAACGTGGAAAGTACATGTAGAAAGTACTGCTAACATTAGTTGGTTACAGTTTAACAAGACACAACGTGTAACTATATAAATAAAGTATTGTTAACATATTAGTTTATTAATTAAACAAGACACAACGTGGAACTACATATAGAAATGATTGTTAACATATTAGTTTATTAATTAAACAAGACACAACGTGGAACTACATATAGAAAGGATTGTTAACATATTAGTTTGTTTCAGTTTAACAAGACACACCGTGGAACTATATAAATAAAGTATTGTTAACATATTAGTTTATTAATTAAACAAGACACAACGTGGAAGTCATATATAGAAAATTTTGCTAACATTAATTTGCTAGTTAAACAAGACACAACGTGGAAATATATATAGAAAGTATTGCTAACATTAGTTTGTTAGTTAAGCAAGACACAACGTGTAAATATATATAGAAAGTGTTGTTAACATTAGTTTGTTAGTTAAACAAGAAACAACGTGTAAATATATATAGAAAGTATTGCTAACATTAGTTTGTTAGTTAAACAAGACACAACATGTAAATATATATAGAAAGTATTGTTAACATTAGTTTGTTAGTTAAACAAGACACAACGTGTAAATATATATAGAAAGTATTGCTAACATTAGTTTGTTAGTTAAACAAGACACAACATGTAAATATATATAGAAAGTGTTGTTAACATTAGTTTGTTAGTTAAACAAGACATAACGTGTAAATATATATAGAAAGTGTTGTTAACATTAGTTTGTTAGTTAAACAAGAAACAACGTGTAAATATATATAGAAAGTATTGCTAACATTAGTTTGTTAGTTAAACAAGAAACAACGTGTAAATATATGTAGAAAGTATTGCTAACATTAGTTTGTTAGCTAAACAAGACACAACATGTAAATATATTTAGAAAGTATTGCTAACATTAGTTTATTAGTTAAACAAGACACAACGTAGACACCATATATAGAAAATTTTGCTAACATTAGTTGGTTACTGTTTAACAAGACACAACGTGTAACTATATAAATAAAGTATTGTTAACATATTAGTTTATTAGTTAAACAAGACACAACGTGGAAAAATATACATAGAAAGTATTGCTAACATTAGTTTGTTAGTTAAACAAGACACAACGTGTAAATATATA